GTGTGTGTGTGTGTGTGTGTGTGTGTGTGTGTGTGTGTGTGTGTGCAACTGTGTGTGTGTGTGCAGCTGTGTGTGTGTGTGTGTGTGCAGCTGTGTGTGTGTGTGTGGTGCAGCAAGAGCATGGCATCATCATCATCATCATCATCATCATCATCATCATCATCATCATCATCATCATCATCATCATCATCATCATCATCATCATCATCATCATCATCATCATCATCATCATCGCGCAATGCACAACACGGTGACAGGCGTCGCACGTGGCCACTATCGCGGTGACAGTCACGGTCTGAACCTGAACCGTTTCTACAACAACCCCTGCCCAACAACTCACCCATCGTGAGTACTGGTGCTGCTGCTGCTGCTGTTCTTGCTCGAGTTGACGGCAATTCGTCGATTGCGCTGTTGAGCTGGACACACTTCTGTTCCTCAACATCGAAACACACACACACACGCGCGCGCGCATATTCACCGACACGCCTCCATAGGATCTTTGCGAGCAAGGTGTTGACCTCGTTCTACTCACAGCAGCAAGCGGGTCTCGCATTCTACATCGACACACACGGTGCGGTGGCTTGTGGACGCGGGCATGGATACCTGTGCGCGTCTGCTTTTGTGTGTGTGTGTGTGTATGGGACACTTTCCTGCGTCCGTCTGCACCCCTGCATTGACGGAACAACACAACTGCAACCCCCCCCCCTCTGCGAACTTGACTACCAACCACCATCCACGAATCACCACCATCATCGCAGGCCACGCCACGAAGCGCGGGTGTTTCCTGTACGGAAACTGTCTGGAGAGTGCACGACACATCGACAACGTCACGTATGCGAAACTGGCAGAGCTCAACTCGCCGCACTTTGACTTTGGCTGCTGTAACTTCTCGGAGAAAAACATGTTTTCCAAGGTGTGTGTGCGTGCGTGTGCGTGCGTGTATGTATGTGTGTGTGTGTGGGTTTCTGACTGCTGCAAACGATGCCTTTTGCCCAAGCGCTCTGCTCATGCAACAACCTCCTCTTCTTCATTCTGTCACCGCGACCATCACATTCAGGACAAGCGCGATGGGCTGTCGAAGGAAGGGAGCGGGCGTGTTGGCACATTCATTGCCACGGACATCACCCACTGGTCTGATAGAAAACACATACACATACATACACACACATACACACATACACACACACACACACACACACACACACACACACACACACCAGTTGTTGTTGCAATACCTCCTTGTGTCTTGACCCCCCCCCCCCAACACCTCGCCTTTCTGCTTCAACAAACACTTCCTTCACTGCCCCTGTGTTCCCATTGCCTCATTGCACCAGGTGTCTGAGTTTCGGCAGCGGTTGGCATATCAGCCGGAAGTGGACGAGTCTGAAGTTGGCGAGTACCGCATCGCGATCCAGATGACGATCCTCATGAACGCGCCAGAGAAGGAGCGTTTGTGTACGTGACGTGTGTATGTGTGTGTATGTGTACGTGTCGTGTATGTCTGTGTGTGTGTACGTGTCATATGTCTGTCTGTCTATCTGTCTGTCTGTCTCTCTGTCTGCGTGTCTGTCTGTCATTGGGGGACTACAGGGGTTCGACGTGGGTGTGGTGCTGCTTCC